GAATTGAAGGGAGGGAGGAAGGAAGGAAGGAAGGAGGGAAGGAAGGAACGAAGGAAGGAGGGAAGGAAGGAACGAAGGAAGGAAGCAAGAGCTAGATGTCAGGAGGTCAATCAATATTCATTTCATAATGAGGTGAAGGTTATAGATAATGAGTACATACGAAGAATGGTCCATCTGCAGCCTGACTGGCAGCTTTATTCAACCTTGAAGAAAAAAATAATCAAGTCAGCATAAATAGCAATAAAAAATAAAAAAATATTTACGCTAGAGTACAAACACTAAAAGTGTGCAACACTTTGCACTATTTAGCAGTAAATAGTGCTAATTAAATAGTGCTAATTAAACGATAGAAAACGATAGGATTAGCATAATTTAGCAGTATTTAGTGGTATTTATGTTTGTACTCTAGAAAGGCAGGTTTTATATACGTGGCTTGAGTAACAAGGCTGAGGGAGCACTCTTTAGATATAGTGATAGATATAACACGTTAATTATACCCTTAACAACATTGCCCCTGTTTCCTTTTGTGTGTGACCCACTTTGGAAATGCTGCAAACTATCGTTTAAACATTGACATACAAAGAAAGAATAATATATATATTGAATTAAGACAAGAACTCAAAAAATCTGGGTTCCAGATGGGAATTGAACCCACAAACTTCCACATTCTAGTTGAATGCTCTACCATTGAGTTACGGGGACTCTAATAGTGATCAAGGTTCTTAACATTGAGGTTATGAGATATATTGCCTTCAATAGTGTAGTCTGGTAATGCTAGATTACGAAAGTCATAACAATGAAGGAATGAACCTTACCTTGAAGTGGCTGTGTGACTGCCCCACTTTATAAAAGGAGTTGTCCCTAGTACTCTCTGGTGAATAATCGAAATGTATTAATATTTTTTTCATTTAAACATATTTAATCACATATTAACCCATTAACATATTAACATATTAGCGTAATTGGCGGCATCTTCTCAGGACTACATCCACCCGGATGATCATAATACTTCGATTAACATTCATTCACCTGGGTTCAGACCAATACAACATTTCAATTAGTTATTCGAGGTTGAGAAAAAAACTAGATTGAGTTAGAATTGCAGTGCATTGTAGGACTGTTTAAGGGGAAAAATACTTCAGTTTCGAGTTCTCTTTTGCTCAACCTTAGTCTCAGTTGTGCATTATAATATTAAGCTATTCAACTGAAACCTGTGGCATTTTAATCAACTTGTATTGTTCCGTAGTACATATATTCCTTACTATACAATGGACCTCATTGAAAAAAAGAACACAATTGAGGCTAAGACTGAGCAAAGGCGAACTCGAAATGGGAGTACTTAATGTTCCTTTTTCTCTTTCGGTAATTACCACCGTGTTTTATGACTAAAGACTTGTCTGCATGGGCTGGGCTTAGCCTCGCTTAAGAACAAATTTGCGAAAGTTAACTGTAATGTAAAGAATGTGCTACTTGAACAATACCAATGTTTTGAAATTCCACAGACTTTTAATGGTATCTGTAAATAGCTGAGTTATAAACAAGGCTAAACCTCTGCAAATGAGTCTGTAGTCTTCAAAATCAGGGGTATGCATCGAAGGCAAAACTGGTGTCAGTATTAGATGCCATATTGGAAATGTGTCCCCTAAACAGTCCTATAATACAATGCAAACTCAACCCAGTTTTTTTCTTAACTTGGAAAGTATAATAAAATTATTGCAGCCTGCTTGATTATTTGGATATTATTATCTATTAGACAAAGGATATCCTAAAATATATTCTTCTTAATTTGTATATTCCTACCTGTAGTATTCCAAATGCCAGCATATCCTTACTGTTCAAGCTAAACAGAGACATCAACAACATTACTGAACAATACCAAAGGTAATGGTAAAAGGGTAAATTTTACACCGTGAAAAGATGAAAATACCAAAGGTATGCAAATGAGTATACTGTACACCAGACAGGTCAAAAAGATTCAAGACTGAGGGGTGTTCTGAGCCTCACCAAAAAGGTTGGACATTGTTCTTGGATTCGAGAACAAAATTTACTGTACTGACTTTTGAACAAATTATTTACTTGTTTATCTGTTTCTCTAAATAGCAGTAAGAAAAGCTTCAATCAAGTTAGAAAAATGGTATTTTGCTTGTACTTATGAAGCTAACTCAACAAATGAAGTAAATAATAATTTGTTTAGCTTCAACTAATTAACATATATAAAACCTGGAAATGTTGCCCCCCCCCCCTCTTGATTTGAGGTCTAACAATTGTTAACTGACCTTGCTCCTTCCGTAACCATGGCAGCATGGACCATTGGAAATGCTTTATGTACTGCAGCCTCTCCTATAAATATAGAACACTTATTACTTAGATAACAGTGGTGGTGATGATGATGGTAGAGTGCAGAGTATGTAGTAGTAAATAGTGCTAATTAAACAATAGAAAACAATAGGATTAGCATAATAGAGCAGTATTTAGTGGTATTTATGTTACAATCTTATAGTGTTTGTACTCTAGTGGTGGTGGTCATGGTCAACAACCATGAAAATTATCTTGGTGCAAAGCACTAATAGATCTTTTCTGAGATGCTCGAGCTCTGTCAAAGGATTTGATTTTATGTGAGCTATAGAAAAACACACACAAAACTTTAATGAAGGAACACTTTCAAGTTTCTTTGAGCTCGGGAGCATGCCTTTTTCAAAAAACATAGTCTACTGCAGATAAAACCTTCCCTTCAAGCGTTTTAGAAATTGCCTGTTCCTCTATGCTTTCCAAAGTTTTTTTTCCATGAGCACTGCTTGAAAATGCCTCATTTTCATGTCTACAACTGCGATATTTATGAAAGTGCTCATGCATCTACATCATCGATATATCATCATATTCTGACCTCCATAGTATTTGGCTTGTTCCTTAGCAGGAACATTTCCTTGTGGTAGTGAAGAGAATGCAGCTTTAGCTTGGTCAACAAATTGTTGGTGGTCAACACCTGACATAAGGAAACCAAGAAATAATTAGGAAAAAGAGTTTGTTAACAGTACCTGTATGTTGCAGATCTGACTACTATATGTACTCTTACTATAAAGGAAATTTTAATTTCAATTTTAATTCAATTTCTTTAAGTACTGTACTCTTAACTCCAACTTTGGGTATTGGAACCAATCAGAAGCCTAGATTGTATGAGAATGGTATTTTGACGTGGTAATTTTGATGTTATGTGTAAGCAACTAGTTAGCCATTGTCATTTTATTTGAGGGAATAAAAATATATGTTTAAAGGGGGACTAGCATGAAAATCATCCAAATTTAAATTGAGCTGAAACTTTACTGGAATAACTCTTAAAGATCTAATATTCACAGGTTCAAATTTTTTCCTGATATTCAGATGGCAAGTATTATATTTTAACGAATTTTTATAGGAGTCTGTGACATCATACACTTAATACTAAACATCGCTCCATACATTTCTTTGTAAATAGATTTGTGTTTTACTTTATTTCTATTAAGCCAAAAGGTCCGCTTAGGGACTTAACATACATAGCTTGTGGTTAGAATCATTTTATGGTATCTTTTCTCCAATACTGAGTAGAAAACTAGAAGATATTTTGATTACAAAATACAAAGAAATGTATGGAGCGATGTATAGTGTTGAGTGTATGACGTCGCAGACTGCTATAAAAATTCGTTAAAATATAATACTTCCCATTCGAATATCAGGAAAAAACATTAACCAGTGATTATTAGGCATTTAAAGGTTATTCCAGTAAAGTTTCTGCTGAATTAAAATTTGGATGATTTTCGCGTGATTTTCCCCCTTTTAAAAGGCTATCGTTTTCTGCTGATTTCTGATTGGCTCTACTACCCAAATTTGGGTTCATTATTCAGTAGTCACACTGTCTTTACTTTCTGTCATAATTGTGTTCAAAGTAAAATCGTTTTTAATTTACTCATAGTATGTGATGCATGTAGAACTAATTTTTTTTCTATATTTTAAATGAGTTTTTTTTGCTATCAAATCATAAAATGCATAATGTTGTGATAAAATAAACTATGTATTTTTTGTTCTTACCAACACCAACTAGTGCCACACCACTGCCAACAAAATGCTTCTGACTGTAATCTAAAAGCTGCAATTAAATATTGAATTTCATAACATTAGGGAATGTGGGCATAAGGTAAAGGGGATGGGGGGTTAAAAAAAGGGCAGGGGCTCCTTTGAATCCAGTTTATCCCTCCTTACTTTATGACCAGTCCCTTGGAATAGTACATGATAGTGTCATATACTATCTTTTGTACAGCTATCGTACATGGATCAAAAATTATTTTAGTTTAGGTGTGTGTAAAACCATGTGTCATTTCCTAGAGTAATATTTCTTTGTGTAAAACTTTGTACAGCTATCGTTAATAATCTTAGTTTAGGTGTGTGTAAATTATTTTTCAATAATCTTAGTTTAGGTGCGTGTAAGTTATTTTTCAATAATCTTAGTTTAGGTGTGTGTAAAACCATGTGTCATTCCCTTGAGTAATATTTCTTTGCATAAAACTTGCAAATGAGAAGACACATGGATGTTCAAGGCTGTAAATACTTAAATGCTAGTTATCAGACAAATGTCTGGTAAAAATGACCACTTGAGTGGTAAATGATTTGCCTTGCTGGACACTGGAGCAAACACATTTCATCACAATTAATTATTTTATGAAATGTTTGATATCACAAAAATAAAAAAAAAAGGTCTCTGGCCTGACAAAATGACCTGCTTATCAAAAATCATTTATTTAGTTTTGCAGCCTTAAAATATGGATCCAACTCAAACAAAGAATAACATGTGCTCTTGAATGGGAAACAATAATCCCAAGTCAAAAAGACTTTAAGACATAAATAAATTCAATATTACTGCAGTTTTTGATATTCTTTGAACTCAGACATTCCAATGGCTTGTTTTCTCAAGGTTGCATGCGCATCTAAATCTAAGGAATTTTGAAGGGCCACGATACTAGAACACGAGTATTATCATGCCTCGGAATTTTTTTAGATAAGAATAAGCCTTTTCATAATTTAAGAATCGATTCCACTGCGCATGCGATTTTATCCCGAATTTCTCACCTTCTTTTGTTTAATTAAGAACAAAAAAGGTTTAGACAAAAGAAGGTGAGAAATTCGGGATAAAATCGCATGCACAGTGGAATCGATTCTTAAACTATGAAAAGGCTTATTCATAAAATCGATTATTCTCCTCTTTATAAAACTGTCTTCTCAATTTACTGAATTTGCGTTTTTCAGTTTTGTAGCCCGTCAAGTTGGATGCGCACGCAACCTTGAGAAAACAGTCTATTGGCTTTTTTTACTGCTGCCAGTCAACACCATAAAATGTACTGACTAATTTATTTTGATTGATGGCAACAACAACAACATTTCATTGTGCAGCTTCCGAGTTCACAGAAGATTGAAACAGAGTAAGTTGTGATGTGACAAAAAAAAAAAAAGAGAGAGAGAGAGCTCCAACTGTGAACAACGAAAAAGTGTTGGTTGGTTATTCTTACTGTATTGGTTGTGATGTGGTTCACTCTGTGTGGGAG